TTTTTTTTTTTTTTTTTTTTACCTAGCTAAGGTGGGTCCAGTAGCCTTCCTTATTGTCTATTAATATTATTGTCTATTAATATATTATTACTTTTCCATTCTGTGTGCAATTTGAGAAATAAGCAAACATTTTTTTTTTAGCTGTTGAATAGGTACATTGCCTAGATTATTTTTCTGCAACTGCAGGGCTAACTGAAGCAACAAACACATCCAAGTTTCTGTATTAGATGATGGAGGAGGCCACTGGTGCCTTTGTTGTTCTCTTGTCATTTGGTTCATAGAGCAAGGGAGTCAGCTGGGAACCTGAAATACACTTTCCTGTGCAGACACCAGGTAGTGCTGAGACACTTGAGTCTCTGAAACACCTGACACAGACCAACAGCGTATCATTGCTTTATATGTGCACAGCACTTCGGTTAGATTTCTGAGAGGAAAACAAGGCATTAGGACTCTGCAATCTCTAACAGCCATTATCATTAATAATGCATTAAAAAGCAGGTTTATAGTCCTGAGGCTATCATCTCAATGCATAATTTCAGAAATGTCAAGGTGACTCAGGATGATGTGATGGACCATGGCATCTCTGAACTGCTCTGAAACGTGTCATTCCAAAGAGCACACATGGCAAAACACACAGCGTGCTCAGACAAAAAGGTTTGTTACCCTCCAAATCATAAACACTCTTCTCCTTGGCAAGGATACATAGCAGCAATGGCATGTATTGTCTTTGCCTTCTGAAAATGTGGGCTTTTTTAATGGTCTGCAGCTAATTTGGGATGTGAAAGATTCTGTCAGCAAATACTGATCTAATCCCTCCCTTTACTGGGATAGAAATACTTTTTATTCAATGTTCATGGTGGGGGAAGTTCAGCATGGCTCAAAAGTATTTGGGCCAGTAGGAGCCTATTTGCCACATTATTGCAGTCTAGCTGAAAGTTCATACAATTAACAATGTCTGTCTGTGTTAGTTTTTGGCTCTCTCAGATAACATTATTTTTTTGAGGACAGCAGCCCCTGTTCACACAGTGGGTTAACCAGCACTGTGTTCTTGTTTGTAAATTGTGTTAGAGCAGCTTTGAGCTCTTTCCTGGGGTAAATCAAGGTTGGGCACTGATGCCAAAATCTCACATCTATTCTTTGAGAAGTGGTGGTGGGATTTTTTAATTGGATATTTTGATGGCACAGTTCAATGTAACTAAAAAAAAAAAAAAAAAAAAAAAAAAGAAGTTGATGATGTGAATGGAGTTGTAGGAAGAAATTAATTGGAATTATCCATACTGTAATGGAATGTTATCTATAAAGGGTAGTTCATCTGAGTGTCTCATTTTGAGTATATAGTCACACGTTCTTAGGAAATAGCATTCCTAGTAGGGACCAGGTGGCTGAGCCACTTCTCCCACCCCATGACCTGATGCTTTCATTTTATTTTTATACAGAGACTTTTAACAATAGCCTTTTATTATGTTTAGTGGACTTTTTTCTCTTTATAATGGGCTCAGCTTCCTGAGCAGCAGAACATCTACCTCCCTTGATAATTACCCAGGAGTTTCTCTTAGAAAGCTTTTCTCTCACAGCACATTGTTTACTCAATAAATTTGATCTGCCTTTTGTATTCTAAGTGAATTAGTCCATTTTAGTACCAGTTTACTTTCTAAATTA